TTAAATTTCAAAATAATGATGAAATATTAAAATAGCACTTTATATAATATACGTTTAAAATTTAAAAGTCTTAAATATTATTTTGATTCTGAAATCTTGCATATTTAACTCTAGCGTTATTTTTTTTTGACCTGGGCTATGGAAGTTTAAAGTCAAAATATATATCTCGTTCAAATAAAAATATAGAAAATCTTAGTTGACAGCTAATATTTATTTTTTCTTCACTATTTATTATTTTATCAATTCAGTCTAAATATGCATCATTACAACCGGTCGGAAAATGTCCATTATTGAAAAAAAAACAATAAATAAACGAAGCTGATATAAATATTAATTTTTAAAATATAAACATAACCCTATTCCATATCTGTGTTCTAGAGGAAATCAAAATGGTTTAGGTCAATGCGTAATCCGGACTAACAAAATATGAATGACAGGGATTGAACTCGGAATTTGTGATAGCGACTTGAAGATGTTTTAACTACCTGGAATACTCTATTTATTTTTTTTTTCTGAAAAAAATGCAATTTAAACATCTATAATATCATGCTTGCCGATAAGCAACAACCAAATTTAAACATAATAAAAAATCTATTGATATTACCCTTTAATGTATCATTTTATGCTCATAAACTATCTTTATTAATTTACAGGTATGCTCTTATTAACTGGCATGATGACTGGTCAAGATAGTCAGGTAAACTATTTTATTAAAAAACACGGGGTTTCCCATCTATATAAATTGCCCCTAGATTTAGTTGAGGAAAAAAATGAGTTTTAAGTGTTATTAACTTAACGCTTCTGGTTCTTTCTTTCTTATCGTTTAATAAAATTTTTCTTAGGTCTATGATCAAAAACGAATACATTATAAAGGTGTATAATTAATCATTTTAAAAAAATTCAAATAGTTTTAACAAATTCTTGTATTTAAAAGAAAGTATACTGTTCGGTTAAGAAGATTAGTAAATAAATACATTTTTTTATTGAGTCAATCAAAATTTGTATATAGGAATCATCGTTTAGCAAGAGTCTAAGACTTTTTTAGTTATTGACATACATTTTTTTTCCTTGATAAATTGACCTTATAGAAAATTATTTATTTAATTTTTTTAAAAACTTATTTATCTACAAATAAATATTATGTCTTTTATACTTTAAAAATAAAACTATAGAATGCAGAATATGAATCAAACAATTTAATCGACACATTTGTTTGTCCGATAAATGAAACAGGTTATTTCGCGGATCATATATTATCGAATTGCAAAATATTTTACTTTTGTCACCTTTCATTGAAGATTCGTTTTGAATGTCCGGATAACTATAGTTTCGATACCATAATAAACGGATGTCAAGAGAGCTTATTTGTAAAGTGCGTTATTCCAGTCACCTCATCCATATCTGTGATACCAAGTGTACCAAAGATAAATATCGTTGAAATTGATATCGATAAAAATAATGTTTCTAATATAAATGGGAGTTTGGAAAAAGATCCCAGCAATACCCTAAATTCCACTATAAATATAGTAACTCTTCTTAAACCCTCTAATAAAATCGCGAGTATTGAAGCCGAAAACGTTTCCCTTAACCCAGAATCAGTAACTGACATATCAATTTTGGGCGAAGAAATCGAGAGTACAACATTCATATTTTCGGATAACTCGACACTTTATCCCTTAGATAATATAACAAATTTCGAAGATGAACTGGAAGTATCAACTAACCCCATATTAGTAGATGTTACAGACTTTGATATTAGAAATATTTCCTGGATTATTTCTAATTTAACTAATGATCCAACGACTACATATAAAACAATTGAAATAGATGAAATCTTATCAAGCGAGGCACCAAAAATCGTTAGTGCACTACCGATAGAAGATGGTAATGGTAGTAATATCGAATCTCATACACTTTTTAATAATCTGGTTAAAGCGTCAAGTGAAAACACGATTAATAATATTAAGAACCCTACTATCGAACCCACATTTACCTCAAAAGTTGAATTGAATGATAACGCGCTAAATAATGTAACGAACCTTACTATAGATCCCATCGTAATATTCCCCTCAAAAGTTGAATCGGATTCGTCAAATGAAAGCACGACCAATTATATAACAAACCTTATTAACGAACCCATTAATACCTCAAAAGTTGAATCGAACGAAAACGCAATTAATAGTATAGCGAACTTTACTATCGAGCCCATCGTAATATTTAAATCAAAAGTTGAAACGGATGCGGGGTCGTATGAATACACAACTAATTTTATAACGAATCTTACTATAGAATCCATTATTACTTCAAAAGTTGAATCGAACGAAAACACGATTAATAATATAACGAACTTTACTATCGAACCTATCATAATATTTAAAACAAAAGTGGAATCGGACACACCAAAGGAAAACGCGACAGAAAATATAACGCACCTTAATATCGAACCCATCGTGATATTTAGAGCAAAAGTAGAATCGAATATACCAAATGAAAACTTGACTAATAATATAACGAGCCTTAATATAGAACCCATCGTAATATTTAAATCAAAAGTCGAATCGGACATACCAAATGAAAACTTGACTAATAATATAACGAGCCTTAATATAGAACCCATCGTAATATTTAAATCAAAAGTCGAATCGGACATACCAAATGAAAACTTGACTAATAATATAACGAGCCTTAATACCGAACCCATCCTAATTTTTAAATCAAAAGTAGAATCGGGCACACCAAATGAAAACGTAACTAATAATATAACAAGCCTCGAACCCATCGTAATTTTTAGATCAAAAGTAGAATCGGGCACACCAAATGAAAACGTAACTAATAATATAACGAGCCTTATCGAACCCATCATAATATTTAAATCAAAAGTTGAATCGGACACAGCAAATGAAAACGAAATTAATAATAAAACGAGCCTTAATATAGAACCCATCTTAGTATTTAACTCAAAAGTTGAATTGGGCGCGTCAAATAAAAACACGACTAATATAACGAGTTTTAATATTGAACCCGTTATAATATATAAATCAAAAGTCGAATCGGTAGAGCTTGAACAAACTGAAGGTAACAGAACGAGTATTGAAGCCCTATCACTAGAAAATGCTACAATTATTGTCGACGAATCTACTAAGATCTGGGAGGGAAAATTCAATAATACCATTGATTTTGTTAACATTACGGAATCAAGTACTTTAAAAAATAAATCTTCGATACTACAAGATGACCTAACTGGTAATTTAATAAAATATAAAATTGACGAGGTCTCCAAGCAAAACATAAATGTTTTAGAAATTTCAAATGAGATTAGTGAAATTAAATCCAAAGTTATCGATACAAATTTTGTAGCCTCGCGAGCGGCTATCTCGCATGATGAAGGTATAGAAAAAAATCATAATGCACAACCGAATGTTTCAGGTGGTGCAGAAAATGGTCTGCCGAAGATTCTCCTGGAAAATTCTAAAGTTAGTATCGGATCACAGAGTGAATTTCAATCAAATAGCTCAGCCAATGCAAGCGTCTCAAATAACGAATCAGATTTTATCGAAAATAGGATGGACACTTCCCCTAAAATTATTACAGTAAAAAATGAGACAAATTTTAAAGCTGAAGATAAAAGTAATACCCTGCTGAGAGATGATGATAGTACTTTCTCCAAAATAAATGAAACCTTATTATTAAGTAATGACTCAAATTCAACATTATACATCCCCGAGGTAATCGCATTACCCTTGCTGTCATCTTATATAAATTATAGTATCATTCCATCGCTAGCCTATAATAGTACAAGTATAAATTTGATCTAATTTTTTATATATACATATTGATACATATATATAAATTTACGATTTATAACATCTAAATTAAAATGACTGAATTTTCAACAAAATAAACGATGCCTTTATAGTCATATTTTTAGTGTTATACTTTTATATTGGTAAGGAATGAAATTAGTTACATTTAAATAATGTTATTACATAATGTAGTAGTAATTTTGAGCTTTTTATGCACCCAAACAGAAATTAATTTGTCTAAATTTTAAGGATAAAGGCAATAAATGTTTACAGTATAAATTAATTAGATTTATTTCTATTATTTCATTACATGAACTAATATGTAGATAGTAGTTCAAACGGATCTTTAACACCTCTCAATATAAAAATCAATCTCGCCAATACTTCCATACAATATGCGGCACCAATTATCGAGACAAACGCCATGGAGGTTAGCTTTATACCTTCGCCCGTCAAAGTTATTGAGAGAAAGAAACCGCCGTCGATGGTTGAAGAGAAGAAGGATACGGCCAAGAAAATAGCAGCTAAAGCTGCTAGGAAACGCAAGAGGACGCACAAAAAGAATGTTAAAAAAGGAAAAAGAGTCAAAAAGGTTAAGAAATCTATGGGAAGAAGGAAGTATAAATCAAGGAGGAATAAAAAATCGAGGAAGAAATCTAAAAAGGTTAAAAAATTGATGCATCACGACGGTGAAACAAAGCAGATATCCCAGTCTATTTCTTTGGTGAAGGTAAAAGATGGTAATGAAGGAAATGTGGCACAGAGTTCAGTAAATCAAGTTAAATCAGTGGTAGATTCCAAAGTACAGCTGTTGGGCACAAATTCAATTTCGCCGAGGAACACTGATCAAGTTGTAAATCCCTCTATTATATTACATAAAATCGTCGTTGATAAATACGCTGTCGACGAGACTAAGGTAGAAAGTTATAGCGTTGAAGATAAACAATTGTATAAACAAAGCATTCGTTAAGAAAATAACAAAAGTCAATGTGTGATATTACCAAAACATATGAATCTCCTAAAATATGTTATAAATATAATAAAAACCTCACATATTTTTCTCCTAATATTGGTTATAATTATATACCTTTACAAATAAATATAGCATTTTGTTTATAAACCCTATTTATATTTTTAATTAAAAAAACTTTCCTATTTTTTTGTAACAATTTATACTCAATTTTTTGTAAGCTTCTATCTATTTATTTTTACCAAAAAATAATAAAAAAATGTTTTAAATATTTCAAGCAAGAATTGACAAAATCACAATTCACAATAAAATTTGACGTCAAAAAAAATAATGAATTATTTTATGAAATATCAATTGTCAATAAGGTGGCGAGAAGGGTGTAGAATTCGAAAATTGGTCGACTAAACTGAGATATAAGAATTTATCTGGAGGCGTTAGGCCAAGCGTGTATTCGCTATTAAAATGTGCTAGATGGTCTTCAGATAATTCCGCCATGCATTCGGTACAAGGGTATGGGTCATTCTTTGACACCTAAGTTTTGTTTTTGGTATTTTTATAAGATCAAATATTAAACCCCATTGTGAATAACATTTTTTTTATTGTGGTGTTATAAATTAATAAATGTATTAGGTTATACCTGCTGATTGCTGCAAACTCGGTGACTATTTGTGACGCCATTTTCATTCTTCGGTGTAGAGTTATTGTAAATCAAGGGATCAATGAAAATAGAACTCCTAAATAATAATTTTGAATAATTTTAAGAAATAATATTTTTCATAAATAATATTTTTCATAAATAATATTTTTCATAAATAATATACAAATAAAGTATATTCATGCGAAAAAATATTTAGTGGGTATATCTACAAAAATTATAATCGAACACAACTAATAATTATTCGATTCGCCGAATATTAGATTTGAAAATTAAATTCTAAATATATTCAAAATGTGAAAAAAATGTATCAAAATTTAAAATAAAAGATTAATAGATTATGGAATTATATTTAAAAAATATATAATTTCGAATAACTGTCATGAGGAGTTATTACCTAAGAACAAAAAGTGGTAAGAGTCAAAAGTAGATGAAATTATTCATCTTGAAGAGAATCATGATTTCTAATCATTTATTTTTCTGGCATCTCCTTCCCATTGACTCCTAGCACCTTTTGCTTTTTCTGGCATCTCCTCCCTTTGACTTCTAGAAATAATGTAAATGCTTCGATGAATAAATTCTTATTCGAAATTCCCAATGCATAACGAATAATTAATTAGTATATAAGTGATCTGAGTGCTTTTTAAAAAAACAAAAGAATGTTTTTCGATATTGAAAAATTTAACCATTCTAACCATGGCACTATAATAAAGTTTGATTACTTTTTCAACAAGAATTTCTGAAAAGGATAAAAAGCACCGAGGATATTTTGAGGAGTTATTTTAGAAGACATGGCTCGGAGAGAAGGAGAAATTTTGAGATCGTATTTGTTTATTTTTTGCATTCGATCATTGTGCTCGATTACGGTGTTACAATATAAAATTTTGTATTGCCTAATTATATTTTAATAAAAAGAAAAACTTATTTTACCCTATACCCAAGGCTGTTTTTTTAAACTTATACTTTTTGTGAGTTCTAATTTATCTTTGATAGAACTTTCCAGTAAACAACTTATGTTGCATCAAGAATAGATTAGATCTAACTAAAAGTAAAAGTTTAAAAAAAAACAGTAGTCTTAAAACAAACCTAGTTATGGATGAAAAGCGATTGATTATCGGAGTGGAACAAAACTTGAGCGGGTTTAAATCGGAAAATAATATTCTATCCCAACTTAGTCCTTTGATAAAAGATTGATCTAAGGTAAATAATACACAAAAAAAGAGTTTAAAAAATAAGATGTGTTTATATAATAATAAACCTGCATCGTTAAAAATTTGTTGATGTCTAGCACATACGATATATAACAGGGTTTGACAGACTACGTAGAAATCGTAATGCATTTCCAAGTCCGAGTCGATAACGTGGGATGAGGTGCGCATATTGGATATATTATTACCGCTGTTTTTGTGAGTATTTACGGTCTTTAAATGCTTTTGAGAGAGGTAATATAGAGCCCAATTGGATAGAGCTTCGATGGACGCAAACACTGATCTTAAAAAAGGATTATTTAAAACAACTACTCTTTTTATAGCAATTAAAGAAGAGATACATTGATACTTTGTATAGCAATAGAGCATATACTTCAAATTTTATTCTATAGAAGTGGCCGTAATACTAGTAATATATTTGTTGCATTGATAATACTCTCCAAGATAAAGTTAAACGATAATATGAAATACGAGACAAAAACAAACCCAACCCATTATTATTTCAAAACGAAAATCCAGGCGCTATCTAGAAACGAGTCAAAATCTAAGTTCGCTTTTAGCCCAAAATTATTTTTCTTGAATACACCCCCCTCCCTCTAAATAGTTATGTCATATTTACGAGTAGTAAACTCCTTCATTAACTTTGTCAATTTATTTTATAATTGGCTAGTTGGTTCTTCACTAATATGAGCCTATTGTAGCTGGGGTGCGCCTCTCTGTCGCTTCGATTTCACCTTTTTTTGACCTTATTGCTCATACAATTTTCAGGTTTACTCATTGTATGATCATATTCATTATCATTTTAATTCATTTTTAATAATAATTAAAATTTATCAATAAGGAAAAGTACAAAAGTAATCGAACATTTATCAGATTAGATTTATTATTGTCTTTCTCTAAACTGTATTTTGACGTCATTAAAAACTTTGAGAACACTTGAAAGTATATAAAAAATGAAAGTGTTTTTTTTGATATCAAATGAACACCTAAAACGAATATGAAGAAATAGTCGAAAAAGAAACTGTCTTCTTAATGTATAGATTTTTACCATTTCTACTCTACTATACTTATAATTGACTATAAAGATGTTTACGTTTATCATTATTGGTATGTTCTCGTAATTAGAGAAAGGATTTTATGAAATATCAGTAAATAAACGACAACATTTTAGAATTAGGTATGGCAAATAAATTTCAAAACAAATACCTCCATTGTGTTGTGGTGAAAAATTAACAAATAATATAGCTAATCTAGCCCTACCCGTATTTTTTTTTAATTTACTTTTTTCATGGACCCAGAATGAGTCTTCAATAACCAAATTTTCTTGAACCAGTGTAAACCGGTTTTTCAAACATCATAATTTAATTAGTAAAAAATGGCCACTTTACTATTTCTCGGGGAGTTTCTAACTATAGGACTATATTATTCCTTCTTTCTAATCCATCAACAGCATTTGAACTTTGAATGGACCCGAACCGTAACAAATATCGATTCAGTTCAGGTTCAGACAAAAATAAAGGTTCATGGTTCAGGTTTGGTTTATAAGAAACAATAATGCAGTAGGCTTACAACTTTATTAGAATTCATTGCTATTCCCAAAAAAATATAGAGCTATATATAATTAAAATATTTTCAGCATTCCAAATTCTATTTATAAAGGAGAAAAAATAAATAATATGATTGAAAGAAAACACATCTATATGCTATCCGGAAGAGTTGACACAGACATGTTGTAATTTGTAATAAATATCTAAACATATTTACTTTTAGCGTTTTCCAAAAATATCGGATTGGACCGATATCTGTAAAAAACAGATCCAATCTTTTTATTTTTATATTTTTTGTTATTTATATATTTTATTACATTAATAATATTTTCTAAATAATTTTTTTATAAACAATGCAAATGCACAACACCCCTTAAATTTTATTTATGTTTTAAAATAGATTTAGTATTTTTAAAGTTTTTTTATAAAAATAGAAAGGAACACCCAAAGTTTTATTTATTTTAAATTTTTTTAAATAATAACGCCAATTTTATTATTTATACTTTAAAAAAAAGAATTTTCTAAATATGGTATCTACATATTTTTCAAAAGACAAAGATAATTTTGCAAAATGTGTTATCTGCGGAATTCTAATTTCACGGGGAGGAATAATTAAAAATTCATTTAATAGTACCAATATTCGTAAACTTTTTTTAATTATTGTAGAAATAAAAAAATTAAATTAATCTCTAAGATCATTGGCTCACGAATAAAGGAATCTCTTTCTTCATTCCTGTCGCCACTTCAGCTAGGGTTTGGTGTACCTGGAGGCTCTGAAATTTCAGCCCATTGTTCGCATTACCCTCTCAAATAATATTCCAGACAATGTCGTTCTAAAACTTGATTTCAAAAATGCTTTCAATACAATCAAACGTCAATATTTCGTTCCCTTGTTTTGCCACTAATATCCTCAATATTCTACATACATTCTCAACAGTTACTCTAGCCCTACTTTTTTAAAATACATATAATAAAATCTCAGGATGGAATCCAACAAGGAGACCCCTTAGGCCCAGCCCTTTTTTGCATCGGGATACACAAGATAATCTTGAATATTCAATCTATATCTAACCTCACTTTAAATTCCTGGTACCTCGATGACGGTATAGTCTCAGGCAACCTCTCCACAGTCATGTCCATTCCCCACATCATCGAAAATCTCTCTTATATAACAGGACTATCTCTCAACCTCCCCAAATGTGAGATTTGCTTCTTAAACCCTACAACATCCATCCCTTCAGAAACCACATTCTTCGCCATCAACAGAGAAGAGATGACACATCTTGGATCACCGATAGGGGGTGAAAAAGCAATCGAAACTTTTTTAAACAAATCCCTCGACAATTTATCATTTAAACTCACTTTTTAATTACCTACCCGCTCATCAATCCTTTTTTTTAATCAAAAACTATTTTAATATACCCAAAATCCTCTATGCCCTGAGATCCTCACCGATCTTCAAATGCAGCCATTTGCTAGTTTACCACGAAACCCAAATTAAGGATCTCCTAGAAAACATATTAAACCTTAAATTCTCCAATTGATCTTGGCTCCAGGCCACCCTTCCATGCAAGTCTGGTGGTATTGGTATCCGATCCCCCTTACAACTTTCCCTTTCAGCCTTTATCTCATCTCGTCTTGCTGCTCAATCTATTATCGACAATGGATCTACTCCTTCAGATACTGACCTCTCACAGGCCCTCACCTTTTGGGACAACAACTGCTCTCCCACCTTAGCCGTCCCGTTTCCAGTACCCAAAAAGACTGGGATGCTCCTCTGATCGCCCGTTCCGTTGAATATCTTATTTCGAACAGGCCCTTTGAGGAAAATCCCAATAATTTGGTACTAAATGCAAACTCTGGCTACGAATGGTTGGAAGCCATCCCCAGCGCCAATCTCGGCCTCCTCATGACTGGCGAACAGCTACGTATATCTATAGCCCTCCGCCTTGGCTGTAATGTCGTAGTTCCCTCAATCTGCATCGACTGTCGTCAGCCCATTGAATCGAAGGCTTACCATCCCTTGCACTGCAAGTTCTCCCGTGGACGACAACCTCGTCATAAATCTATCAATAACATTTTACTAGCCGCCCTCAAAAAAGTTAATATCCCATCTACCCTTGAACCAGTGGGTCTTTCAAACGAATAAGCCATACGCCCGGATGGTATTTCTCTCATACCCTGGTCTAATGGTCTTCCGCTAACATAGGATTACACTTGCGTTGATTTTGCAGCCAAGTCTAACCTCTCATTTTCTGCTATCGAAAAGGCAGAAATCCTTAAAAAAATAAATACGCTGGCCTCGCCAACACTTTGTTCATTCCTATCGTTACCAATACCCTAGGCATGTTTGGAAACGAGGCCCTCAATTTCATCAAAATCATATGAAAAAAAATGAGACAGATCTCAGAGGACCCCAATGAAGAATTTTACCTTCGCCAGCAGATTTCCCTGGAAATTTGCCGGTCTAATTTTTTAAGCATTCACTTTTCTCTTGGATGATATATACCCACTTTTTTTTTAAATATATATATTTTTTAATCCTCTGTAAATTATATAATTTATTTTATAATATTTTTTTTATAAAATAATAAAAAAGTCGAATAAAAAAAAAAAAATTAAATACATAATTCGATTTTTTGCATAAAAAATATTGATTTCTTAATCACATTTGGTTCAAGAGGGGGGGGGGCAAAAATCAATATAAATGTAGGATTGGGTGAAAAATATGTGAAACGGCCACAGCCCTAGACATAACCCTTTAATTTGTTAGTACCTGAGCCATAACTTTAATTCAGGCTGCTGATTTTTTAATAATAAAGTCTCGCCATGCTCCTGTAAACAACTAACCCCCAAAAAAACTTTGTTTAAATGGGTATTTTAAAAAAAGCACTGATATTTATATTCAATCAAAAGTGACTATAATTTCATAGATTATATTCATTCTGAAACAGTTATATTCAGGATATTTATATATAATTGTATACTTGATGTGAACAAAGTTTGCCATGGCAATGAAAGAACCCATATAATATATTGAATTGTGATGAACGAATGGAGATAATTTAGGATTAGTAAATTTTTTCCAACAAAATTCGATAAAATTTTCGGCATAATTCTGCAAAACAAAATAGAAATTTACTATTTTTTTTAATGAAAGTGATTTACTGGTGAAAAATGACAGATATAGAATACTAAAAAATGAGTGTGGTAGCATTCTTTTTGGTGCAAAATATGATTATCAAATGCTGTAAATATGTTGTGAACTAAACTTGATTGATTATCTATCATTTTCAATATTTTTTAAAAAATATAGTATTGTTAAATGGCTTGATTTTGCCTATTTTTAAAAAAAATAATATTATCTAAGCCTTGAGATTTAGCCAATAGATGTCCACTTTTGGATATCTGCTGGAAAAATATATAAGCAGGTTGGATAATGTACTTCTAGTTAAAATCCTGGTTAGCCATTTTTTAGAATTGGCTTAAATCAAAACAAAAAAAGTTTATTAATTAACACCAAAATGTATAAGGGCAATAAAAATATATACCTGATAAATGATTGTCAAAATGGGATTTGATATGATTTAGTAATAGATAAAGCATTTCATCAATTTTTATTAAACAGGAATCATAATTATTTTCCAGGAATGGCATAGATTCAGAATTTTGGTCAAGCGCTTTAATAAATGTGTCAAAAACTGGCAATAAGTTTTGTGATATGTTGTTTTCATTATTGTTGTAAATGTTAGTACAATTAATATCAATATTTAAGACATAATTGATGCAACTATCCATTAAAACTTCTTTATCTGATTGATTAATTAGATTTATAATTCTTAGGGCCATTATTAGATAATTACAATGAAAAGTACAAATTTTATTGGGGTGTGGAAAGTTATGTCTAATTAAATCTGTCATAGTTGATGATGAACTATAAATAATTATAATTATCTTCTGATAAATAAAATTACCTTGGAAATATATTATAGATCCTAGTGATCAATGATATGAGATTATTATAATGCTCAAAATGAACTATATTCATTTTATCTGATTCTGCTATAATATTTAAAAAAAATATATAGGCTATAAAATATTCAGAAAAAAATTTAATCAAAATAAGATTCATAAATGTATTACATGTGGTAATGAGAAGATTAAGTATATATTTCAATCCTGATTTTAAAGAAAAGGGATGGCAAAGTAGTATTTCACATATAATTGTACTATATAAATCATAAACAATTGGATTATAAACATTTTTAGAATCCTTAAAATATGTATATAATAATGAATATAAATTATATATACTAAAAAGCTCCAAATAATATCTATAGATATATCAGTAATAGAAATTATTCTTAAGGATATTTGATTCAGCAAAAACTTGATAATATCTATATTAGTAGATTCATCTTCAATAATATGTTTAATCACATCCATTTCTTTAGTTTCCCCCTATATATGAATATAGAAAATTGAGTGAATAATCTTAATAAAACTTTTAAAGCCAGCTCCAAAATATTAATGAATCGCGTTTCACCCATTTTAAAATAAAATTTAAAAAACAGATGATCTGAATTTGAATAACATATGTCAGATATTGAATTTGTCGATTATTAATTTTAATCTTATATTGGTTGAACTCGACAAAATTATTTGAAGATGATTAATCGTAGCCGTTACAAAGCTGATAACCTCTGTCAACCGGTTATTTTTTTCTGCTTTTAGAGTTCATATTCATCACAAAGTAACCAAAAAATGCAATAATAAATATAAAACAAATCCCTTTTATAGAAATAGCTATGAAACACATATATTTTATAGTGTAACCGGAGAAAATGAGGGAGGGGGGAGAAGACCAGGAGTTTGCAGAAAAATTTGAATAGGCTCCTGAACGATAATTTTTAAGGCTTCCTGATAGCTACCTGAACTAAAAAAAAATTATGATAGAGAGAGAGAGAAAGAAAGAAAGAAAGAAAGAAAGAAAGAAAGAAAGAAAGAAAGAAAGAAAGAAAGAAAGAAAGAAAGAAAGAAAGAAAGAAAGAAAGAAAGAAAGAAAGAAAGAAAGAAAGAAAGAAAGAAAGAAAGAAAGAAAGAAAGAAAGAAAGAAAGAAAGAAAGAAAGAAAGAAAGAAAGAAAGAAAGAAAGAAAGAAAGAAAGAAAGAAAGAAAGAAAGAAAGAAAGAAAGAAAGAAAGAAAGAAAGAAAGAAAGAAAGAAAGAAAGAAAGAAAGAAAGAAAGAAAGAAAGAAAGAAAAAAAAAAAGAAAGAAAGAAAGACCCTTGAACGATTTATTTTAGAATTCTATTATGTAAGATTAAATTTGATATTATTTTTAAAAGATAAATAAGACATTATAATATTTAGTAAATGAGTGTTGTTTTAATTATTAGATTAATACATACAAAATATATTCTCACTATTGTAACAATTGTAAAAATTTTATGTTAAAAATAGAATATCAATATCACTCATAATGTCTAAATATCAATCAAACATTAAGAGTTGAAGCTTAAATGATTAAATATTTAAATTATTTTACAATCCTAAGCTATAAATTATTATAAATGATATTAAGCACTTAACCCTTATGGTAAAGGATCAGTGGCGTAGCTACGGGGGTTTTCGGGTTTGGACCCCTCTCAGAGCGAATTTTTTTTAGATTATACGTTCAAAAGACTTAGAAGTGACTTTGTATCAAATAAATACCATTAATATTTATATTTTTCTGGTTTTGATGTTTGTGGAAAGATATTATATTACTATTAAAATTATTCTGGGAGTGTCAAACATGTTATTAAAAACATTATGAAAATGATTAATAATTTCTTAATTTATACGCAAAATAAAAAAGTATACAATTTTGATAAAATTTTTAATCTAGATAAATTCTTTTATAAATCTATTATAAATAAAAATTATTTTAAAAGTTTATTTATATCAAAATTATGATTACAATAAAATGAAAGATCTTAATAGTTGTAAAATCTATATTATAATTTTCCGATGTGCTCACTACGTCATTGTGACGTCATGTCATTGCTACGTCAAGTCATCGCTACGTCATGTCATCGCTATGTATTTATTTATTTTTATTAATTTATTTATTTTTTATAAAAGCAAGACTCAAATAAAAAGTAACTATTATATCCTGTTAAATAATATTAATAATTTATAAAATTTTTCATTTATTTACTTTTTTTATAGATGAAATATTTTGAGAAGAAAATTAAAGAAAGCAAGACTCAAATAAAAAGCAACTATAATCCTGGTAATTAATATTTTTAATTTATGATATCAATAATTAAATATCATTCAATTATTAATTCAACCCATATTCATTTTGAGAAGAAAGGGTAAATAATATTTTTTATTTATAAAAATAAGTTTTTACAAATCAAACAATCATACACCCTTATTTTCCAAAAAATAAGTTTTTACAAGGGCTAATATCAAAAAATAAATATCATTCAATTCTTTCAAGTAAATTAAATTATAAATGCTTATATTTTTTTTGTATTTCTAAAATACATCAATTTTAGCTTCTGATGATATTCCCACTCTTTCTAGAGAGCCTAATATTGATTCCTCTTCAGGTTTAATACATAAATATTTTTAAAATTATTCTTATGTTTTTATTTTAGATAACAAACCACCTCTCTTAATGATTGTACAGATGCTGATTAAGCAACTATTATCTTGGTAAATTATTATTTTTTATTTATTAAAATGAGTTTTTACATGGGTTGATATCAAAAAATTAATATCATTCAATTATTAATTCAGCCCATATTTATTTTGAGAAGAAAAGCAAAGTATGGGTAAATAATATTTTTAATTTATAAAAATGAGTTTTTACAAATCAAACAATCATCATACACCCTTAGTTTACAAAAAGTATAACATCAATAATTTAAACTTTCCCATTCCAGCTACACATTCAAAATTATTATAAATATTTATGAAAATAGTTTTAAAACACAAAAGATTAACTCTACCTTTTTTTAAACAAAAATGTGGTATAAAACAAGGATGTGCCACCCCCCATTTTCAATCTACTAATTAGTGACATACCAGTACAAAATGTAGACTGGCTATGCTACGCCGACAACATATATATCATTATTGAAGATGTCACTAACATTAATTATTTTAACAATAGTCTTAAATAATATGTGAAAAACAGCCTGATAAAAAATTTAAAAAAACTATTCTATTTTCCTTTCCTTCCCTTTTAATTTCTTTTATTATCTTCACCTTTCTCAAACTTTTTAATTTCCTATTTCTTTCTCTTTAGCTTCCTTTCCTTTCCTTTTAATTTCTCTTTCCATTTACAATACTTAGTATGATATTTTTTATAATTTAAATAAATTTATATATCTATTTTAAGCATCCCACGTATTTTTAAAGCTATCCATTTTGCCGGGCCGCACAATATGTTCTTTTATCTCTGATGAATAGTTTGCCTAACTAACAGAAAAATATCCAAAGTACATTATTTTTAGTATTTAACTAAATTAATATATCAATTTTTAAAGATCCTACCTTTTTAAAACTTGCATTTTGTCAGATTCACAATTGCTTTATTCTCCATTCTGATTATTTTGTAAAACTCACCAAAAAATAAGTACATTATTTTTATTATAAATAATTATATATAGGATTTTATATCTATCCAAAAAATCGATATATATATATAACAATATTTTTTTTATTCAATTAAAATTATATATTTATTCTTAAGGATCCTACCTTTTTAACAATACTCCTTTTTATTCTTACTAATTTTTTTTGTATAATTCAATAAAAAAGACAAAACGGGGTTTTCTATCTTTAGGATTTTACATTTATTCCAAAACAAAATACATACTATGGTATTTATATTATTTAAATTATTCTATATCTATTCACAAGGTTCCTATTTTTTTTTAATTTGCCAATTAGACTCTCCGAATGGTATTACATTTTAATCCTACCTTATAAAATTAACTTGAGAATTGTTTTGTTTTAACTTTAAACTATCCCCATCTTATTTCCTCTTTATAATTGTTCAAATATTGATATATCAGTCATTAATAATGAACAAATGCAAAATAAACCTTTAGTAGAACATGATAGGCTTGATAAGTCCCCAAAAAAAAATTTTTGATTATAGCCCCCCAACTACTTGAAATATATTTCTATTGACTCCTCTACAGATTTACAGTATATTAATGTTTGTTTAATTTCAACAATAGTTTATTTATATTTGTGGCTGATTTCTTTATTTGTCTAGGCTAACCCAATTTTAATCCCTCACATTGTTACAAAACATGATGAAATTATTAAGGATAAGCAAAGAAAAAAATGCCGATTCAACAAACGCCTTACCTGTTCTAGAGTTTCGGCCAAGATAATAAGGAACTTTGAACTCCTCTGGAGGTTTATTTTGTTTTTTATCTATATGTTTATTTTATATTCACCCAGTTGCCTCCAAATAATATTTCTATCACCACTACCACAATCCCTATGCCACCTCTGCCTAATTTTTAACAAATATAAGCATTTAATTCCACTATCATTCACCTCATTATGAGTTATTATAAATAATACTTTATCCGATTCCCTGAGGAACTTTCATGAATATTAAGAGGGATTTTCAAACGTGAATGTGTAGTGCGGCCAATTTCATTAACATTATTAATGGGAAAATATGCGGTAGTTTTGTCATGGCCTTTATAACAATACTTACGACCGTTTTATGGTTGGTTGACAATGTCGTTCATGATTCTATTTTAGAGGGGGATACCAAAATTGACACTTTGGCAGAAATATCATTTCGCGTTCTTCTTTTACCAGTAGCCCAGGGCCTCAGCTTTATCAGGACGCAATGGGTGTTGTACACTGCTTTGGTAATCCGTCATTATTCATTACTTTCACCTACAACCCTAAATGGGATGATATTATACATTAATTATTTCCTCTGCAGACGACTGCCCAGATTTATTTTGTCGCTTTTTCCACCAAAAATCATAATGTCATAAAGGATTTGCTCTTAATTTTATCAGACACACAAAATAATAATTAATTAAATAAATTGCATATAAGTTTCATTAGTATTGAATGGCATTTTTGTAATTTAAATAAATAGCATTTTTGTACTTAACATAAAGATATAGATAGCCCTTATCAAATTTTTTGATAAAAGGAGTTAACCCACTAATTGGTAAATCCGAGATTTCCCTTTCATGTGATGATAAATTATTTAGAAATTTAAGTATCTCCGGGTTTGGGAAAAAGTTTTGAAAATTAATATAGGTTGGACTGGGCTTGGAAAATATTCCTCAAGATTAATATTTGCTTACATATGACTTGGGAATATCTTTTACAAATTATTATGGGCCGGTCTAGGAAAAAATTTTCAAAATTATTATGGGTTAAGCTAGGCTTAAGAAATTTTTTTAATTATAAGGTCTTGGACGCTTGGAAATTTTTCCAAATATTATGAGCTTAAACCTGGCATGAAATTTTTTAATGTTAAATGTTAGTCTTATGTAATCAGTAATTCAGTAAAATATTTGCAAA